CGTAAGGAGTTCCTTGAACAGTAAAATAATAAACAAACAACTGCTTAAATATGAAAAGTAATGAATCATTTCTGCCATCTTTATAAAATACGACTACTGATTAATTCGATCTATATAACGGAATTGCGATATCTATTAGAGTTGCAAAACTATAGATAGTCAAGCATTTTATACCATCGATACCTCGCCTGCAATGAAGACTACAAAAAAGACTAAAAACAGCCCACGAGGTATTTCTGTTTTTTTTTTTTGCAAAAGTGTTAATATTATTACAAAATTAAATTAAAATAGGAATTTCTTTAATGATCCTGCGTTAGGTTAAGTAATTTCGGTTTCCATTTAATTTCTTTAAATTCAGAAAGTATTGCTTGACACCAAAAAATTGCACTCATCATGGAACGGAAAAAATAAATAGTCAATCCAATTAAAACAAATGAATTCCAACTTTTTGTTTTGTATTATAATTTACAAAATAAATGCTATAGTCAGGTCAGACTGATAAAGACTTTGCAAACAGAATGCTTTACTACAAATTTTTTCGCTTTCTAATAATTAATACGTGACACCACCCTGGCAATAATCTTGCTACGCAGCAGCCATTTAAGGCGCCTCAAGAGGATTCATTCGCCTTTAGGTACTTAAAATCTAAAAACTATATCACGGTTTAATTTTGAATTATAATTCTTCACATAATAGATTTCAAATAAATAGTTTTAAATAAAGAATCGATTCGCGATGGTACATCAACCAAGAATTTCTGTTTGTTGCAATTATAGAAATTTGTGTGCAAAATATTTGCATGTTAAAAACCTTAGGGTCTTTTCTTGTTACTACTGCTGGATGTCCATCAGATTTTTGTGGCTGAGCTAATTAATTTTGGTGACCCAGATGTTATACCTGAATGCAACATAGTTTGAAAATCTACATGTTTTCTGGTTGAGAAGTTAGATTCTTCTTTTGAAAAAGGAAATGTGTGGCACAGACAACTTGAAAATAAAATATGCCCCATTCAAATGGAGTGTATAATAGTGCCTTCAAGGAAGGCCGCTATAGCCAACCACTCGGGCCGCTTATGAAAATATCGACAAAGTAGCAGAAAAGACAAGTCGCGGAGAGATATGAGTTCAGAGCCCGAAACATTCACATACTGTGGCTATAGCTATAAACGGCAGCCGTAGCTAAAGTTGACAGCAGGTAGGAGGTTTATTTTTATTTGCAGTTTTCATACTATTTTGGAATTTTCCGTTTTTTTTTGTTTGTTTTTTTTTTGATTTGAGGTTCGACTGCCGAGATATTGCAACTTATTTTAGGCTCGTACAAATATTTAAACGTCGTCACAAATGTCAGCGAATGCAACTCAAATGTGCGAAAAATTTAATAAACAGTCAGCGACAGCAGCAGTAGCAGCAACAACAACAACAGCCACAACAACGGCTTGTTTATAATAGTTAGCGGTTTTTAAAGCAATCTCTTGCATATACTCGTAAGTAGATAAAATTGTTTAAAACGATTTTGTCGCTGCTAGTACGAGTATGTATCTCGAAAGGAGGCGTTGTTAGAGTGAATGCTGCGGCACACACATACATATGTAGTCTGTAGATACTATTTGTGATGCCTGCCGAACGAACATTTTCCCACGTTTGGCTTTGATTTGATTTGGTTTTTGATTTTCGAGTTGTTGTTTTCTTTTCCAGCTTTCGACAGCGCCGTCTCTCGAAGTTTTTGTTTAATTGAATTCATCTGGTTGAGTGAAAATTCAAAACGCAACCGCCAAACCGATTTATCATCCTCATCAGCATCGGCGTCATCATGTGTGTGTGTGTGTGTATGTGTATCGAGGTGATTGTGTTTATTTGTACGTGCACTGCCATATTTGGTGTTTTATTGGCAAACAAATTGATTAATTGATTTTCGTTGAATTACCAGCGAGCGGAAAAACAAAGTGGTGCGTGTTTTTATTAATTTTGTAACGCCCGCTTTCTTGATGAGCTCGCCCAATAGACAGTCTTGGTCTCAGCTGCCCGCCCCCTCCCTCCGACCACGTTCAGTTACAAAAATGTAAACAAAAACGAAGCAAACACACACACAGTACTATTTTATTTATAGAAATGATTGTATACGAATTTATAGCTTGTGGATCGGCACTCTCAGAATATATAATTATTTAATCATGATTACATGGGCATAGCAAAGCATCGATCAATTTTAATACTTTTTCATCGCAGCAGGTACAACTTTTCAGAAATAAACTCGTACTATGTGGCAAGTAGAAGCCGCCCCAAAATTGTTTACTAATTCGAGTCAATTTCTCGATTTCGTTTTACAGATGTTCTTTAAAATTGGGGAAAAGAGTTTTTGGCATTCAGCCTAGCGATTATTTTCTCCAATTTAATATGATAAGAGAAATAATTTTGCATATAATAATATCAGAGTTTATGAATTGGTTTATCAAAATGCTGTTGCAAATACTGATAGGATAGGTTTCTTAAAATCTCAATTTTTAACATATACTTTAGTGATTAAAGTTAAAGCTACCACCAAATATTTCTTGACTCGAAAAAATGAAAAAGAGTGTCAAAATATGAAACATGGTCGCGGTGTAAGCACAAATTCAAAATCACAGTCAACTTGTTCAGATGTAGGATTCCGATTATTTAGAGTAAATAAATGAGATCACTCGAGTAATCCTGAAATTCGAATAATCAAAAGAGATAATGAAGTTAGCTATATTAAAAGGTATTACCATACAATATCAAAAGGTACATTCTATCCGAGTATTAAAAGATATTTAAAAATGAAAAAAACGAACTGAACTGCACACACAAAGCAGTACTTCATTTTTATATCCTGTACCTGTGGGCTAAAAATGGTATTTTAGGTTTGTGCAAAGTATGTAACAGGCGAAGGAGCCATCTCCGACCCCATAAAGTACATACACTGCGCGTCATCAGGTTAGCACACCCCTGATTTGAATAGTTTTCGTTAAAACTAAAAAATATAAAATTCTTAAAATTCTAGTGATTATAAACCACTAAGTTGTTAACTAAATAAAATACAAATTAATGTTCCCCATTTATCTATATTTTTTATGATTTTTTTTCGAAGTTAACCCAAAAATTCTGGATTGCGGGGCGAATATAACTCAGTGACGGAAGTTTGTCTGGGTACAGGGTATTTCACTGTCGGGCTTCCTGTTAAGGAGAAATGCTTCCAACTAAATTTTACATAAAAATATATCAAAACAAGAAAATAATGCTAAAGTAGAGCAAGCTCATCTCTTAAATACCCTGTACCTCCCACCAAAAAGAAAAAAATGAAAAAATTTGTTTTTTAAATATTTAAAAAAAGTATATTCATTAAATTAAATACATGTTCATGTACAGTTTCAACAGCATACATTTACATCAGAATCGTGTCTCTGCGTGTTTATAGCACAAAGTTGAACCCAAGCAGCAACAACAACAACAGCTGCAGGCAGCGCTACAAGCAGAGCATGGGCAGCGATTTTATTTATGGCTATAACTTTCTTCAGAATTGACCTATCATGATGAAACTTGGCATACAGACACATAATCACTAACGGGATGTAGCTACCTAAAATTAGTTCGAAATTCCAAGAACTACGGGAGTTTTGAAAAAAAAAAAAAACACGAATTGCGCGGGAGTGGGGGGGGGGGGTATCAGAATACAAAAATAAACTTGACCTGCCTAGGGCTTATGGGAATCTAAATACCGAGTTTGGTTATTCTAGCTCTTGTACCTTTTGAGATCCTTGCGCTCATACAGACGGACGGACGGCCATGGCTATATCGACTCGTCTTCTCATCCTGATCAAGAATATATATACTTTGTGGGGTCTGCCACGCCTCCTTCTGTGTGTTACATACATTCGCACAAAACTAGTATAGCCTTTCACCCTTTGGGTACAGGCTATAAAAAATATACCGAAAGTATATTTATTTTCATATCAAAAATCAGTAGCTAGTCATCTCAAAGCCATTCTTTGCAGTGTAGACTGTATTTCAAGCGAGACTTGGAACTAAGTTAATTTTAGTTGTAGTCTCGTAAAACAAAGTAGTATGTATATATCTGCAGGAGAGTCGCTTGTTTCCAAGAACTGTCACAAATGATAATTGCAAATGAGGCAATGCTAGCAGACAGTTGATAGAGATGCTCAGTGTTAGATACCAAAACTAGTTAGCTTCAAGTGGTGCCGAGTGAAGTCGTGCGTATATGTGATAAGTGATACCTTTTTTGGGCAAGGACAGTACAAAATCACTTGTCATCCCAAAAGATTGGGGCGTCGCGGCAAAATCGTGTCATGGCCAGTTAACAAAAACTAACCATCATCTGAGATGAAATGAGATGATACAAGATGAAATGAGATGAGAAAGATGTGCCTCAAACACAAAAAGACACACACACACAGACACACACACACAGACACACATTAATTATAGGTGAGACACGAAGACGCAGGTATGGCTGCGATGAGTTGAGATTCACGAAATATTCGCCCAACACTTCTCCAATGCAAATGAAGTGCGTCGGAAAGTGATTGTTTTTTGAAGCCAGGCCAGCCACCAGCATGCATTACATAATTACTTACAATCGCAAGTGCAGCTCCCAGCCAACAACTCCAAGCCATAGTCGCTTGTTTTGACAAAACATTTGCGAAACTCTCCGATGCTTTCGCCGCGCGAGTTGCTGTTGTTGGACGGTTGTCTGGTTAGTTGGTTGCCGGGACTGGCGGGACTGTTGGGGCGCACTTGAGAGCACCCAGTTGGCAAACAACATTATGGCAATGGGACGCACTTGCTGCGATGCTTCCGGCGGCAGCGGCAACAGCAGTTACCACTTGGTAGCGCATGACCCAATCTAACCAAGGCCAGGGCTTTAATGTGTGCGCATCTGCACCACCGGCTGTGTTGTATAAAAGTTGCGGGCAATGCCATCAGCGGCATCAGTTCGAGGCATTGGCTCAAGCAAATCAAATCAAAATGAAAATATTCGTCTGCCTGCTAGCAGCTTGTGCTGTTGCCCAAGCGGGCTTCATCGGTGGTGCAGGAGGTGGCGGTGGCGGTGGTGGCGGCGGTGGACATGGCGGCTATGGTGGAGGCGGTGGTGGTGGTCATGGAAGCGGAGGCGGCAGTTTTAGCGCAGCTTCGAGCAGCAGCAGCAGTTTTGGCGGCGGCGGTTTTGGCGGTGGCTTTGGCGGCGGCTATGGCGGTGGTGGTGGCGGCGGCGGCGGTGATTTCGGCGGTGGAGCCCACGATCATGGTGGCTCTGGTGGCTTTAGTAGTGCTTCTGCTGGTGCCTTTGCGGGCGGCGGTGGTTACAGCGGCGGCGGCGGTGGATATAGCGGCGGTGGCGGTGGCTCAGGAAAAACCATCAAAATCTTCAAAGTGATTCAAGAAACGGCACCAGCTGATTACTCGCAAGGCTCGCAGGGCGGCTGGCAAACGGTTGGCGCCAGCGACGGTGGTTGGTCTGCCGGTGGTGGTGGTGGTGGTGGCTACAGCAGCAGCAGCGCTAGTGGCGCCTATGGTCCTCCCCCAGCTACAGGTGGCGGTGATGTCAAAATTATTAAGGTTATTTCGGAGACCTCTTCGGCTGGTGGTTATGGCGGCGGTGGTGCATCGGCTGGTGGTTACGGCGGAGGTGGTGCATCGGCTGGAGGCTATGGTGGAGGTGCTTCAGGCCCCGGTCCCTGGGCACCTAGCGGTGGTTGGGCATCCGGTGGTCCCATCGGTGGTGGCGGCGGTGGCTGGTCCTCGGGCGGTTCTTCTGGAGGCAGTGATGCTGCCACTGCAATTAAAATCATTAAGATCATATCCGAGGGTGGAGGAGCAGGAGGAGCGGGATCCGGTGCAGGAGGTTGGTCATCCGGTGGTCCTCCTAGCGACGGTGGTTGGTCTCAAGCTGGCCCACCCGGTGGCGGAAGCTGGTAGACCAATTACCTTGTGATATTCACAGCTCATTCTATTTAAATGTTCACCCTTTCATAAAAGTTCTCTGTAATCCTGTTATTTGTTGAAATAAATACAAATTTGTTAATGTCCTATCGAGACTGGAAGTGGTTTGATATATTATTGGGGTGCTCCAATAAACTGAAAGACTGATAACGCGATAGCGAGAGTGCTGGTCCAGAGCTTGTCAAAAAATAAAAGTTAATAGAGACTTTCGATCATCTTCATTGGAACTATTGAGGGTCAGAGAAAGTGATTCACTTTCCTTTCCTACTTCGTATTGGGAGCTTCTGCAGAAATCTTAAAACTGAGCTAGTTGTTGGAGAATTTCTGTCTACCAGACTATCCGTACAAATTGAATATATCGATGTATCCATACCATAAGCAAGCAATTCAAATCATTTCAAAGTAGAAACGCGATTATTTTGATGGCGTCAACAAAGATTATCTTCCTTTCTGAAGATTACATTACATATATACTTTTGTTTCAGTGTAGAGCAGAGAACAGATTCTTTATTGTGCTTTCTTGTTTATTTATTAAAGTTCATGTTGAAATGTATCAAACCATATGTATCGACTCATCTGTCCATCACTAACAAAGTTAGTCTCTCTAAGAATGTAGATCGAAGCAGACGCATTCGCTGCAGCTATATTGTATCACACACAACACATCATATATTCATACATATCAATAAACATCAAACTTATTACATTAAAAACAACAACAGGTTATGGGCCCAGCAAGCTTCCACTGCACTCATATACCTTAGTGAAACCTAATAAATAAAAGTTTTGGTGATGCCGAATTCATTGTGAAATAATCAATGCAATAGACGCATAATTGTATGTAAATGTGTGTATGTGGTAGACGTACATACGTACATGTGTATGTGCAAAAATCTTGTGTGTATTGGTGACTGACGCCAACAAAGTGGTCGTTTAAATTTGAAATCCACAAATCAGTGTTAAGCACATAAAGCGTGTGAAAAATCAAAGTGTTGAAAAAGTACACGGTGAAACTATCGAATAATCGATCAACGAAAACACGAAACGTAAACAAACGCAAAAAAAAAAAAAAAGTAAGAAGAAGTGTGTTAGAAAAACAAAAGTACAGTATTAATCGCTGAAAAAGTGCGACAATATGAGTTATGCAAATATTAAAATTGATCCCCTCGGAAGGGACAATTATGATACCTGGAAAATACAGATACAAGCGTTATTAATAAAAAACGATGTTTGGAAATATGTAAGTGGCCAGAACGTGCTGCCAACTAATAGTTCTGCTGAAAAAGTTGCAGAATGGGAATTGAATGATTCTAAAGCAAAATCCGACTTAATTTTGTCAATCTCTACGACAGAATTGAGACAAGTGAAAAACTGTGAGACATCCAAGGAATTATGGGACAAATTAAAAAGTGTATACCAATCAAAAGGTCCCGCGCGCAAAGCTCATTTGCTGAAATCGCTTATTTTGTTGAAAATGCAAAATGGTGGGGACATGCATACCCATTTGCAAAATTTCTTTGACACGGTAGACAAAATTCGCGAAATGGACATGGAAATCATGGATGATCTTGTAACAATATTACTATTGTATAGTGTGCCAGACGAATACGAACAGTTTAGAGTCGCGATCGAAACGCAAGACAAACTACCCGATCCGGAATCGTTAAAAACGAAAATGCTCGAAGAATACGAAGCGCGAAAACGCAACAATGTCGAGTCCAGTGACGCATTGTTTGCACGAAAAAGTTATATTAAAGTGAAAAGTAGCAAACCTACTGAAAAGTTTAAATTAGCTTGCTACAATTGTGGAAAAATAGGCCATAAAGCCAGAGAATGCCGATCGAGGCCGAAAAATCAATTCGAAAACAATAACAAAAACAAAGAAAAGCGTGAAAGACCTGAAAACGCAAGTAATACCGCTATTGCTTTTCAAATATGTGGTGAAAAAGGAATGTGGTGTCTAGACTCTGGAGCCACATCGCACATGTGTTCTCAAAAGGACAAATTTCAAAATATTGTCAGAAATAGTGAAAACCAAAAACTGAAGCTCGCAAATAACATGTCTGCTAAAATAGCAGGGTGCGGAGAAGTTTTATTAGAGACCTCAAAAAGAACTGCAAGTTTGGGGGAAACGTTATATGTACCAGACTTAAGATCAAATTTAATGTCTGTTTCTAAGATTACAGATAAAGGCTTCGAGGTCATCTTTCGTCGTAACGGAGCAGTAGTACTAAATCCCAAAACAGGCGAGAAAATAGTCACAGCATTGCGAAAATCAAATCTGTACTACATAAATGAGCCGCCATCGCGCAGCAACGTCGCTCAAGCAACTGAGCAAAAGAAGGATCTTCAAGAATGGCACGAAATACTCGGGCATCTCAACGAGGCCGATTTGAAAGGTATGATCAAAACTGAAAAAGTGGTAGGCATCCAGGCCGATGTCAAACAGAATTTGCAGCAGTGTGAGGTCTGCATTCAGGGGAAGCAAACACAAAATCGCTTTCCGAACTCCGAATCAAAGTCAAATGAACTCCTTGAACTAGTACATTCCGACGTCTGTGGACCAATGCGCACCCAGTCCAATGGTCACTCGAAGTATTTTGTCACATTCATTGACGACAAATCAAAGTGGTGTGAAGTATACTTTGTCAAACAAAAGAACGAAGTATTAAGTAAGTTCACACAATACAAAAGCATGGTCGAGAATAGTACAGGAAAGAAAATCAAAACGTTGCGTACTGATAATGGTAAAGAGTATGTAAACTCTGAATTTTCTCGGCTGCTGAAAGAAGCTGGTATAAAGCATGAATTAACTGTTGAATATACTCCACAGCAAAATGGAGTAGCCGAGCGGAAAAACAGAACTCTAATCGATATGGCGCGCTGCATGTTACTTCAAAGTGGACTTGCAGCAAGTTTCTGGGCTGAAGCGATCATCACGGCGAATCACATCAGAAACCGGTGTCCATCACGAAGTCTAAATGGTGAAATACCCTACACTCTATGGACCGGCAAAAAGGCAAACGTTAACTATTTGCGGAAATTTGGCACAATCGCCTACATGCTAGAAAAGAAACCTGGAAAAGGAAAATTCGAGCCAAAATCAAAACGATGTATTTTTATTGGATACGAAAACCAGTCTAAAGCGTATAGACTATGGAGTCCAGATGAGAGAAAAATCTTCAAGAGCCGAGATGTAAAATTTACAGATCATTTTGAAGGAAATTCCGAATATGACGAATTCATCGACGCAAAGCAGCTTATCACGGGAAACCATGAAATAGTGGTCGAAATCTTAAATAAACCAACCAATGCCGTGAATATGAAAAATGAAGTTGAAGATGCGAAGGATCATGGAATCATAAGTACCCCAGTCACCACCAAGCCGAAAAGGGGAAGACCACCCAAGCCAAGGCGTATAATTGAAGAAGCAGAAACACGTAACACCTCTAAACAAAAAGGCCACGTTGAAGAGACGGACCCGCAAACCGCTGAAGAAGCACTCGCTCGTCCCGAAGGTGAAGAATGGAAAGCAGCCTTACTAGAAGAATACCAGGCACTGAAGAAAAATAACACGTGGGAGTTGGTAGATCGTCCGCCCAACACCAAGGTCATCGAAACGAAATGGGTATTACGAACCAAACGAAATGCGGATGGATCAATCCAGAGACGAAAGGCAAGACTCGTCGCTAAAGGTTTTGCACAAACACCAGGTGTAAATTATACAGAAACATTTGCTCCTGTTGCACGAATGAGCTCCATACGTATGCTCATGGCATTATCCGTTGAATTGGAAATGGAAATTCAACAACTCGATTTCGTAAGCGCATATCTAAATGGTGAAATTACCGAAGACATCTATGTGGAAATACCTGAAGAACTAAAGCATATTCTCAGTGGTCACGAACAAGAGGCCTACAAGTCAGACAAAGTGTGCAAAATTCAAAAGGCACTTTACGGTCTAAAGCAATCAGGACGTCAATGGTACAAGAAGCTCGACGAGAAGCTGCAAGAGCTTGGTTTGGAACCTTGCAGCGCAGACCCTTGTGTATACACCAAGCGAAGTGAGAATATACTTACAGTTGTTCTTATATATGTTGATGACCTCATGGTAGCATCAAACAACAAAGAAGCAACCGACGACCTTAAGAAGGAACTTGCAAAAACCTTCGACATGAAAGATATGGGACCCCTAAGATACTGTTTAGGCATCGAATTCGAGCAGAACGCAGAAACAAACCAGATAAAGATTCACCAACGAAAGTACACAAATGAAGTCGTCAATCGATTCCACATGCAAGATGCGAAAGCCATATCCACCCCAATGTTACCAGGTGAAAAATTATCAAAAACAATGTCACCAAGTACACCGGCAGAAGAAGCGAATATGAAGAACGTCCCATATCAAAGTCTTATAGGCTCGCTAATGTATCTAGCAGTTTGCACTCGTCCAGACATAGCCCACGCAGTAAGCGTATTAAGTCAGTATAACTCATGCTTTGGCCGAAAGCACTGGGAAGCAGCGAAAAGAGTCCTCAGATATCTCAAAGGCACCGCAGAAGAAGGACTCATTTTCAAAAGAACAGGCAAGGACCTATTCGGCTACACCGACGCCGATTGGGGTTCAAATGTCGACGACCGAAAATCGTACACAGGTTACGCTTTCATGTATGCTAACGCAGCCGTCAGTTGGGAATCCCGTAAACAACGCACAGTTTCATTATCCACAACCGAAGCTGAGTACATGGCGATTTCCGACGCAGCAAAAGAAGCAATTCATCTGAAATTGTTCATAGAAGAAGTTTTGGGCAAGAAAGGCGCTATCGTTATCTTCAACGACAACCAGGGTGCCGGCGAACTTACTAGAAATCCTGTATTTCACAGCCGAACGAAGCACATTGATATCCGTCACCATTTTATTCGAGAGCTAGTGGAGAAAGACGAAATCATCATCGAATACATCCCCACAGAAGAGATGCGAGCCGACGCCTTAACTAAAAACCTAACGAGAAAGAAGCACATCGAATGCATGATGGGTTTGGGTATACGTTAAGTATATAAAATTTTGAATTACTAACAAAATGTTAAATGAAATTCTTGAACATATGATTTGAGGGGAAGTGTTGAAATGTATCAAACCATATGTATCGACTCATCTGTCCATCACTAACAAAGTTAGTCTCTCTAAGAATGTAGATCGAAGCAGACGCATTCGCTGCAGCTATATTGTATCACACACAACACATCATATATTCATACATATCAATAAACATCAAACTTATTACATTAAAAACAACAACAGTTCAACAGAAGCATTTTAATTGTTCTTAGGGCGCATATGGTTAAACGTGCATTTCCTCGTCATCTCACATCTTCAACAACTTAGAATATCTTAGAGTTGATGTCGGGAGCAGACACTTTTTAAAGGTATCAGCCAAAATATCCTGTGAGCTTTATAATCGCTGCAATAAGTATGAATGAGGAACTTATCTGTTTATATTGAAGTCTGGAGCTAACACTTTTTAAATATATAAAGACCGATGTTGGTGCCTCAATTTAATGAGGTATAAAGACACAAAATTGTCTTTTTAATTTACAATAATTTATAATTGCACATCAATGCACATCGATTATTAATAAAAATCACGCGCAACATCGATATTACAGTCGATGAATGCCAAACAACCGATACTTCTTTGATTAGGTGAATGGAGTAAAGGATGAGATAACCTCTAAGCTTAAACATAGTTAGTATGAATGAGAATATTATTTCCACATCTTATCTCCATTCATCACAAAAAAAGACTTTGTTATCTAACTTAAAGACATTACTACATACATTTATGGGCGTCTAACCAGTATATTTTCTTCTACGAGGCTTGCACATGATATCCAAAAATATTAAGTTGTACGATAACAAATATTTGAACACCAGACTACAAAAACACACATGTTCCAGCTTCTACAGCTGAACTTACAAGTATCTCTAGATGGTGGAATTAAATAACTACACACATATACGAAATGTTCACAATCCTACGAAATTAGGGCGATTTCATATTAAAAGACTAGTATCTAATGTTGTAACATTGTTAAACAACTATTACTAACCACTCTTTTAAAAATAGTTTCATAATAATTTGGCAACTTAAATTCTTATCGCGTTGTTGTTAAATAGCAAGGAATGAAGGACATCTCTATAGTTTAGATAAGCTCTAGGTGGTGCTATGAAATATATGGAAAATCATTTCTATATAGATAACAAATTGTTTATACATAATGAACCCTTTCTAATTCTTGGCGTCCACACGCACGCAATATATTCTATTCTCCTTGCCCATTCCTGTCAGCGTCCTGTTAAAAAGCACACTTAAGCGCTAAGTAATAAAATTCGAAAGCAAAACGGAGAGAAAAAAAGGAATGCGCAAGAAAAAATATATACGTTGGTATATAGTATAGAAAAGAGCAAAACGATTGTCAGAAAAAAATATGTAAAATATCACTTTCAAGTTTGGAGACGCGCACGAGCCAAGGAGCAGGCAGCCAAGGATAAAGGAGTGAAATGCATTACAGACCCCAAAAATGAAAAGGCAAATCGAAAAGAGTGAGCTTCTAGTGGGCAGGGCGCTGGTTGTGGGGTGCTATGTGGGTAGTCGCTGTCGGATGTTGCCGGCAACCGACATGTATAAAAATATTTTCCATATAAATCTAACAAAGAACGTGTTCGGGTTACTTGATTAGGCAGCAAAAGTGTTCAAGTTGGTGTGAGTTCAAAGGGCGCAGCAACAAGGAGGAGGAGGAGGACGACGACGATGCCTTGACACGACAATAGTTGAGGGCACTCTGGCATTCTTTTTCCATTCAACATTTTCACAACAAATACACAAACACAAGAAAAATTCATAACACATACCAACCAACCATCCAAAAAAAAAAAAAAAAAAAAAAAAGAAGCAAAGCAAAAGTATTGAGCGGGCGTTGGGGGTTGCAACAAATCCAATTTGTTGTTATGCTCGTATATAGCTTTTTATTGATTTATTTGATGGCAATCTGAGTATTGCTTACTGCCCCCACCCCCTACTTCCGTCCGTCCAACCACTGCAGCCACTTCCTAGAAAAATTGCGCAATTTCGGCCGCGTTTGAAAATAACATTCATAATTATGATCAGCGCTCATTAACTAATAATGTGCTGCCCATGGCAAGTAGTACCCGCACCCCTTCCCCTCCACTCATCAACCCACCCACCGCCTCATGGGTGGGGGGTGGCGAAATAAATTTAGTGGCTGTGTAAACAAATAGCAGCGCTGACCAAATCGTATCTGATTTTTGTTCAATTTGTTCTCAGCGAATACTTACTTGTATTTCAGTTTCTATACAAGTATGTTGCACAAATAAGCAGAAGACGAAACCACTTGGCACCTCCTCGCCACACCGCCTCACAACAGCCAGCCACCCACTCGAGAGATATTCTAAACAACATGAAAATCATTTTTATGAGTTAATGGAAAATTTTCCATTGAACGCAAACATCGTTTGCTACGATGAAATGAGTGTGGGGCGATTATTTGTGTTGTGGCTGTGGTGCTGCTTTCAAATTTGTTATTATTTTAATTTTGTACGAATATTGACTGTTGCTGCTGTTGTTGTTGTTGCTGTTATTGTTGTTATTATTGTTGTTAATATTGCGCTGTTTGCGGATGCTGGGTGGCCAGGTCTGGGCCGTCGTTTGACGCTCGCACGTGCAGCGCAAAATGTGGAAAATTGCGTGTTTGCCAAACAACAACAACAATGTTCCCGACATCAGCGATAAAGTCGCGTTTACTCTCAATGCGTTCTCCCTCAACTCAATTCAGACGATTGTGTACAAATGAGACGAGATGATCAAACAAGATGGAAGTCGCGACTCGTGTGCCTCTTCAGTCGTCAGTCGGGGAAAAAACACAATCAATGAGGCAATGCAAACAGTTTATGCGCCCTTCAGTATGCTACACTAAATTTGCCGGCACACGCTGCCTCATTTGATGCCCTCTCCCCAGCCCCAACCCTTATCCACTTTGTTCATTTCATCCACAAATGGACAATTTGAAGTGGCACAAAAGCCAATATTTGGCTTACCACAAAGGGTCGATCCAACCAACTACACCCCAGAGGAGATAGAGATCTTGAGTCCAAAACTGAATTATCAAAACGCCTGTGCAAGTAATTCCCAGACGTAAAAAACTCTAAATTGACTACAAATCAGTGAGGTGCTAATCAATTTTGCGCCTTTCGATTATGATTCATTTTATACTTCTTCTATGAATAGCAAGTGCAATATCTAAATTATTTTAATTACATCAATTCAATTCCAAAATAAAGTTTTACGCACAATAACACTTGCATACACATAGGTCTGGCCATGGCAACAGTTTGCGAGACTATCCAACGGCTTGCGTGGTTGCATTTTGAATTATTGTTGGAAAGCGAGAACATACCTATGTTGCTATGGATTTAGGAGCTCGTAATAAATTTCCAATATCTTACAAATCATTATCCAAAACTGAAGTTTTGATTCTTGAACTTTACAAAAAAATAACTTAGTCTGTCAGTTCAGTCTGTCCCTGTTTAAAGAATTATTAGGCGGCAAACTTATTTAATTAATGATTAAATTAATTATTTTTATATCCCCTTACTGAAAGTAAACACAAACAAATAATAATGTACTGAAAATAAAGACAAAACTCTATTTAATCTTATAAGCTTTAGAAAGAGCCCCTGTTTTGCAACAAACCTTGCTCTTAAACTACAAGTATTGCCAGAAACATCTTCAGGTATCGTGCAACTACCTTAGCCGTTATCTTTAGAGAGTCAACCACACACGATTATTTTGTTAGGGATCGTTGGCTGCTTAAAATAGACCAACTGAGAGCAATTGGGTGTCAGAGTGTCATCAACTTATTCCTAGCACTCGTTCCAAGTTAGCGAAATAGAAATGAATTCAAAATAATAAAACAAAATTGGGCAAACATTTCAAGAAAATATATTTTAAGTGGTATGTAGTCCTTTCATCTTGGGTTTATTAACACGGAATTAACCTGCAATTGGTCCAACTGGCCCAACACAAAGATCTCCTCGATGGCCTTTTTGGCCAACAATTTTTGTCTCTCGTTCAGCTTGCGATAGGATGTGGCCCAGCCCTCGGCATAGATTGTCGCCTCATCCCGGGAACTGGAATTGTTGAGCTGATTTGCCGCCTGTTGAAGCAATTCGAAATTCTGCAACAGCATTCCTGTATCCTGTTCTCTTTGCTCAAAAGGTTGCTCCACTGGGGTTGGATTACTCCAGTCACTTGAAGCATTTTTATCTTCCGCATCGTCCACCTCATTGCCGTTTTCGCTTTCAGAAATCCAGATTTCTTCTTCGGATTTCACGCGAATGGCGGGCTCTCGGTGTCGACGCTCCGGCAAATGCGCCTCCCGCAGAAAAGAGAGAGCATCAAAGTACCACAGGTTCGGCACACGAACATGTCCCGTTTTTGAACTAGTTCGCTCACTCTCCTCGACTTTTCGCAGCTCGCGATTAAAGCAGGTGCGTACGCCATTAATCTTCCTCTTCATAACATCGATCGTGGCATTCGGATCGATAGTCTTGTACAGCTGCAACAACTTTTCGTGAACACAAAGAAGGAACGTTAGAAACGACCCTCGGGAAGAGAGGGAGTATATGTTGTCTGGATACCTTTTCGTAGGCTGCTTCCCGTTTCCCCTCCTTATTCTTTTTGTGTCGATATTCGATTTTCCAGAGCTCAGGTAGCTGTCCATACAGCTGAAAGAATTTCTTCCATTTGTCGGTACAAGGAATTACATAGAGAGGGCCGCTCATGATGTGTGCCGCACTACAACTGCCAGAAAACTGCATGACTGAGAGAGTGCATGTTTGAGAACCTGCTGTCGAACACGTTTGACAACAAGCGGTCCAACATGTTTGCAAACACATAGCGAGAGAGCGACGAAGACACTGTTTACCGCGCACTTCCTCTCTTGGTTTGATAACTTTGTTGTAGGTGTGTGTGTCGACGTATAAATATTTTCTCTCTTATTTCATCTTGCTATGTATGTACCAGAGAAGTGCAACGAGTACTACATTTTCGGTCATACTCGAGTATTTACCCATACTCGGTATGATTATTTTATTTGGGTATATGGTGACAAGCAATGATTGGTTTTAAACGAACCCACACCAACCAGTCAGTTCGACTCACAACTGCAAAAACTCAGAAGTGAACGGTTGTGCCCGAAACTTCTTGCATGAATGCAAGCAATGACCGGTTGTGAACGAACGCTCACCAACCAGTCAGTTCGACTCACAACTGCAAAGACTCAGAAATGTGCGGTTGTGACCGAAACTTTTTGCCTGCGTGCAAGAAATGATCGAACGTCGTATTTACACTCATGCCCGCATGACCGAAATGACCAATGATATCGGCGGGTGCACATGCCCTTGAATTTTCTATTGTTTTTTCGGCTATTAGTTCAATAGTAACTTCGTATACAAGTATGTATATGCATATAAATTAAAGAATCCAACAAAACTATTAGCGAAAAGAAACACCTTCCTTTTTATTTAAATTACAAAAAGTTATGCTATTTTAATTTATATTAATTTCTTTATTTTAAGATATTTGAGTTCCTTTTTAAGAAATAATATCCTGCTAAATATCATAATATAAAAAAAAATATGTATATTTATACATATGTTTTCTTTTCATTCTGTACCTCTTTATTTAAAATACGTACATACAAATACACATGTTTGCGCATAATTGCAAACAACACATGCACTCACAAATACATAAATACAAGTATGTACATACATCATGCATATTTCATACGGTCATACTCGGGTAAAACCCGCGCAATACTCGAGACATACTCGGGTAAAACCTGCGCAATACTCGAGTAATACCCGAGTATAGCTCGCGCAATACCCAAATAATACTCGACCAATAACGGCACTACTCGTTCGATCGAACGCTCATTCTGCAAAGTCTGGTTTGCTTCGATCAGGACCCAATCATCTTAAACGAAGTGACCGAGCCTGAAGTGTTTGAAAGCAAACCAATCAAGGCTGGTAGCCGTTCGCAACGAACAGAATACTCGCAGTGACCGAGCCTGAACTGTTTGAAAGCAAACCAGTCAAGACCGGTGCTTGTCCGTAAGAATAGAAAGATTGCTCATGCAAGTTCGATCATAAGAAAAATGAGAGTACTGGGAGAACTCAACTCGTTCGAGCTCGTTTGCAGCCAAGCAAAGATCTGATTTGATTGAATTTTCAGCAATGGTGGTCGAACATACTCGGACATACTTGTTGCAGTTCTCTGCTACACACTTTGTATGTACTTATCTGTACTGTAAGTCAATGCGATCATAAATGCACACACATACATATGTATGTAACCAAACCTGTTTATATTATGTTAATTTTGCACATCTTTGTAAATAGAAAATTGTTACATAATTATGTTTGTTTAAGAATCTAACCAAGAGCTTTAAAAACAACGATTAGAACTAAAACAAAACACTCACTTGCACTCTGAGAATAGAGAAATGGGAAAAAAGATTAATTGCACCAAAAATTGATTACAATTTATATGCCAATAGATTAATAATGTCGGGTTCAGTCAACTTTAATTCGATAAGTACTAGTCGCACTGAATCATGCTTGGGCTTATTGCAATTGTGGGATTCCCCTCTTCACAAAAAAATCACTTGGTTCCTTGACTCATTTGTAAGATACATACATGTTAAGCTTATTTTGAACATATTATGTCTCAGCTAATTATGCACAATTATGGCTTCGACGATTCTTCCCGGAAATTTCAGTGTGAAAGATGAAAGCTTTGGAGCTCCTGTGTCAACAATAGGAGCGTTTAAAGCCGTTGGCATATGTCTCTCTGAACAACAACTTCTTGAGATCATTTTTGTTCTAGGTGTCTCTTTTGGAAAGTCTGTCTACGAACATTGATTTTATGATAACTGACCACAACTTCAGGAAATAGACATCAATCCGCAAAAATTCAAACCTTTTACTTTGAAATGTAATTAAGCATTATAGATTCATTGAATATTCCAATTATTCAGGATAAGCAATTTTTCTTTAAAAATGGAAACATTAAGAAGAGCAAGAACTGTTTAATAAGGACTGCACTTTATTTGCAATCTGAGTAGCAAAGTAGTTTATTCTTTGGCGGCACTTACTAAATCAAAGATGCAATTTGTTTTTTTAGACAAACAAAGCGCTTAATGTAGAAAAGAAACTGAAGGTTTCTCGAGGCACGTTCAAATATGAGACGTATGTACTATTTACTATGTACGAGTATATATGTATAAGTGTGTATGTAACTGCCCGCCGTCTGGTCTGGTCGACGACACCAGTGGTAGACGTGCGGCCCCCATTGGCGTTGGCGTCGCCTCATCGATTTGGCGTCGCCATCGCCAACATTGTCGCTGTCGTCATCGTCATCGTCATTGTCGCTTGTTTGTCGCCTTTGTTCATCCACAGACTTATACCATATATACACTTCTATATACACATAATTATGCACAAAAGTAGCAAAAAAGTTTCGTAGTGTACCATAAAAAGAGCCAACAGAAAAATATCATTACTAATTCATTTTCTTATTTTGTGCATTGCACCCTTTACTTTCGCCCTCCCCCCATCCCCCCCCCCTTCTCTTCCACCTCTTACCACTTACCCCTCACGCATTCATTCCTTTTTTGCTTTGCAGTTTTTCACCTTCTCCCACTTTATACATATACTTTATATTTGATTTGTTTAACGACTCTTGTGCGCCTTTTTTGATTCGGTTGTAATTCAGCTTTTGTTTATCTTTTCGTTAAATGTTTTCGTTTGCGAGAGTGTGCGCGATTCTCCACAGACGTGTCTTCACTGTGCTTCTCCCCCTCTCATTCTTTACCTTCTTCTTTTTGCACTTTTACGCTTTGTTGACTTTGTTGAATGAACTGATGAGCCCGAGTCTGTCAACTGGCCAGACATATTCCGCCGATGAAGAGGCCATCACGTCCAGTCATGAGTAATTTATCAAAGCGAACAAAATCGTGTTGGCTGATGAGGCGGCTGTCATCGCCAATAAGTTGTAAATGATACTAAAGCTCAGCTCGATTCGTTGCAGCTCCGCAGCTCACAAATATTCCCAATTGCTACAGATCTGACAGCATTTGCGTCGACACGAATCAAGTACGATAATCACTCCATATATGTCACACGTTTCATGATTTTTCTTTGGTTTGAAGCCAGCTCTTAGGGATGCACAACAGTCGATTCCAAAGGCCAAAAATAACAAAATTAAAATCAAAAGTTTGCTACCAAATGTCTTATCACAATCTCCTTAAAAAACAAGCAATTAAAAGGCAAGTTTTTGCTCTATTCAATCCGTATTCTTCACGAATTGCTTCAAAGGAGAGAGCATTTTAGCAGGTGCGAAATTTTGATGTCTAAGATGTTAGATGATTTCTTTTTGGCAGTACCATTGTTAGTGTTGCATTCACCACAATAGTTATATTTCAGCTAAAAATTATAGTCGCTTTCAGAACATTAAATTACGAGTATTACTTAAATCTGTAATTTTGAAATCAACATACATTTTTCTATTTTCATTATATATATATCATATATTAACATCTCATGATAAACATGTCTAAAATTTAAATTTAAAATACATGAAAAAAAACAACAAATAAATCGTATGTTCTAAGAGTTCATGGTGAATCGGTCAGGTATGTGGTATGACATGATATGATTAGAATATTGTCATCTTGGTACAGCTAGATTTATACTTACAGAAAAAAAGATTCAGTACGATCGCTCAACTATAACTACTATATTTTTGGCCGCAGATTCCATACAAGACAGACCCCTGTGAGATGTAGGGATTCACAGACTATAGACGAAGACGATTCATTAACTAGAGTCTACCAAAGCAGCTAAAGAAAACAATGTTGTATTTAAATTCGCTTTGTTTTAAAATATTGCAACATTAATTTGTCATGTCTACCACAATTTGGATTCGAATTGTTGCTAGTCTGGGTCGTCGAAATCCCTAAATTCGTATTATAGGCATGTCAAAATTTATTTAAAGATTCCCAAAGTGCATACACACGCACAAACACATTGACAGCAACTTTCCAATTACAACTATAAACACCCAAACAACTCAATAAATGCAATAATTCCCCAAGTCCTCCCCCTCTAAACACCCTACATGCCGAGCGAACCGAGGGAAAATTGTGGTGAAAAGGTTGCACATGGGTGGGGGGAAGTGGAGTGGAAAAGCGTCGCATTGAACATTTGTCCAATACACACATAATAATTTTTGGCTTGTGTGCGTTTTATTTTGTATGTGGGTCATGTCCTTATGAAATATTCAAATGTCCCGAATTAAGTATTTATGCCATTTCCACTCTTTTATTGTTTGACGTTGTTGGCAACCACCTCGCTGCCTCTGTCTCTGCCTCTGCCTCTGCCCCTCCCCCCATTCCTATAGCTGGAATATCCACACACTCCTTTCTGTGACCGTTAAGCGCCAATTCCCAACCCATGCCGCCAACCCATCACTGACTACCAACTGCTGGCATTGTTGCTTTATTTGAAAACGAATTGTAAATGCGTTGCCAGCACGTGTGTGTGTGTGTTGTGTGTGTGTATGTGTGTGTGTATGTGTGTGTGTATGTGTGTGTGTATGTGTGTGTGTATGTGTGTGTGTATGTGTGTGTGTATGTGTGTGGTGTAGAGTTGGGCACGGGCCGTGTTTTTTGTCGTGGCACTTCGTGCCACGCGTGGGCCCGCGTGTTCGTGTTGTAAAT